TTACAATGGTTGACCTCAATGGTTCACTTTAGATTTTCCTTTTTTTCTAATATATACATTCAATGCTATAAATTTCCCTTTAAGCACTGCTTTCACTGCACCTCACAAAGTTTGACAAGTTGTGTTTTTATTTTTTAATTAGCTCAAAATATTTTTAAATTATTCTTGAGATTCTTCTTTCATCCACATATTATTTAGAAGTATGTTGGTGACTGTCCATGTATTTTGGTGTGTTCCAGTTAGTTTTCTGTTATTAATTTCTAATTTATTTCCATTGTGGTCTGAAAGCAGAGATTGTATGATTTCTATTCTCATGAATTTGTTAAGGTATGTTTTATGGTCACAAATGAGGTATATCTAGGTGTGTGTCTGCTGTTGTTGAATGAAGTAGTCCACCCGATGCTACTTATATCTTTTTTCATTTAATAAAGTTTTATTTTTCAAAACGTACAGCTGGAGGTACCTGTTGCTCATGCATCGTCACCAGCAGCTGGGGCCTCCCACCGTGGGTGTTTCTGGGGTAAGTTGCTTGAGCTCTGTGCTTTGGAACTGGCTTAATAAACCCTTTATCAAGGAGCTCCTGAAGGGCTTCCCTGGCCAAGGAGCCGCGGACCTCCAGGCTCTGCGACAACAGCTGGGGTCATAAGCCGACAGAGGGAACTTCCTTACAGAGGTTGTCACAGGTCGCTTTGTCAGACAAGACTGGTTATTGAGCTTGTCTGAAATCTGCCTTTGCACCACTTCTTCTTTTTGGGCTTGCCCCCCAATTTGTTCACTGGGTCTTTGTCTTTCTTGGCTGTCTTTCTGGCACCTTCTTCTTGTCCTTGAGTGGCATAGTGAACTCGGAGAGCAGCTGCTGCCACTGCAACATCAATCAGATGTCGGACCAACGGAAGCCCAGTTTTTTCTGATTGATTGCTGGTGTTAAGTTCAACCATGTCCTCACTGGTCTCCGGCCTGCTGGATCTGTCCGTTTCTCAGAGAGCACTGTTGAAGTCTCCAACTGTTACAGTGGTTTCATGTGTTTCTTCTTGCAATTCCATCAGTTTTGACTAAAGTAGTTTGACTCTCTGTTGCTAGGTGCGTACATGTTAAGGATTTTTATATCTTCTTGGAGATACATTCATAGGCAGACATAACCAAATACAGTGTTGCTATTATTACTTTGAACAAACTGTTTTATGCTAGCAGCTCTTAAGAGTAAGAAAAGGCCCTACCCAGTTTGGCAAAGTGGATAGAGCATCGGCCTGCGGACTGAAAGGTCCCAGGTTTGATTCCGGTCAAAGGCATGTACCTTGGTTGCGGGCACATACCCAGTAGAGGTGTGCAGGAGGCAGCTGATCGATGTTTCTCTCTCATTGATGTTTCTAACTCTCTAACCCTCTCCCTTCCTCTCTGTAAAAAATCAATAAAATATATATTTTTTAAAAGAGTAAGAAAAGTGAAAGTTTTTATTTTACCTTCAGTGTTTTCCCTTTCTTTATGTAGATCCAAGTTTCTGGTCTATATTATTTTTCTTCTCTCTAAATAACCTCTTTTAACATTTCTTGAAAGGTAGGTCTACTGGCAACAAATTTCTTAAAAATTTTTTTGGGAGCTGAGAATGTCTTTATTTCTTCTTTACTCTTTTCCTGTAGGGAAGATGTTTACTCCCTCTGGCTTCTTCCAGGATTATTTAATTTACTAGAGGCCCGGTGCATGAAGTTCGTGTATGGGGGGATGTCCCCTCAGCCCAACCTGCACCCTTTCCAATCCGGGACCCCTCAGGGGATGTCCAACTGCTGGTTTAGGCCCGATCCTGGGGATTGGGCCTAAACTGGCAGTCGGACATCCTTCTCACAATCCTGGACTGCTGTCTCCTAATCGCTCACCTGCCTGCCTGCCTGGTCACCCCCAGTTGCCCCCTCCCTGCCGGCCTGGTTGCCCCCAACTGCCCCCCGCTGCCGGCCTAGTCGCCCCTCACTAACCCCCCTGCCAGCCTGGTCACCCCACGCAGCCTGCTGTTCAGTCATTTGGTCGTCCCTCACTAACCCCCATGCTGGCCTGGTCATAGGCAGCTATCTTGTGAGGGCATGAGGGTTAATTTGCATATTACCTCTATTATAGAGGATCTTTGTGGGGGTTTATGTTCATTTGTTTGCTTTTGTAGTTTGAAGATGTAGGTTTTTTGCATTTATTTTGCTTGGTGTTCCCTGAGCTTCCTGGATTTTTCGTGTGGCGTATGACATTAATTGGAAGGATATTCTCAGTCATTATTGATTCCAATATTTTTTTGTTCCTTTCTTTTTCTTCTGGTATTCCCATTTCACATATGTTACATCTTTTGTAATTGTCCCACAGTCCTTGGATATTCTGGCTTTGTTTTCTCAGTCTTTGTTTTAAATTTTCAGGGATTCTATTGATATATTCCCTGGTTCAGAGATTCTTTCTTCAGCCATGTCCAGCCCATCAAAGGCATTTTTCATTTCTGTAACAGTTGTTTTTAATCTCCAGAATCTCTTTTCTTTTCTCTCTCTCCCTTTTCCTTCCTTCCTTCCTTCCTTCCTTCCTTCCTTCCTTCCTTCCTTCCTTCCTTTTCCTTTCTCTTTCTTTCTGCCTCTTTTATTTTATTTTTTAGGATATCCATCTCTCTGCTTACGTTGTCCATCTGTTCTTGGTTGTTGTCTGCGTTACCCATTAGGGCCCTTAGCATATTAACCATGATTGTTTTAAACTCCTGGCTTGATAATCCAGCGTCCCTGCCTTGTCTTGCTCTGGTGCTTGCTCCGCCACTTCACAACGTGTGTTCAGCCTCTGGTGTGCTCTGTGACTTTCTATTGATAGATGATGCTCTGTGACTTTCTACTGATAGATGGGCTGATGTCCTGGGTGAAAGGAACGACTGCAAATGGCTTTTTGTAATGTGATGGTGAGGCGGGGGAGGGAAGTGTTCTACAGTCCTGTGACCAGGTCTCAGTCTGTTAGTGAGCGCATGCCTCTGGCCGGTGAACTTCACAGTGTGTCTCAGTTTGTCTCCCGCTCCTGCCCCTAGGTGAGACAGGATGGTGAGACAGGGCTGGAATTAGGCATTTCCCCTCCCCAGGGCCGCCAGGCTCTGGTAACACCAGGGGAGGCTCTGGCTGACTCGTGTTCCCTGAGGGCTGGCCGTGTTAAGAACAGAGTGCTCTGCTGTATTTCAAAATGGTCCCTTTCCCCTTCCACCCTGCCAGAAGCCCCAGGGCATTTTTCTCTGATATCTTCTATGGCAACACGGCCAGGCTTCAGAGGCAAATCTCACCACGGTGTGCCTCCTCCCCCCATGACTGGAGTTTTTGACTCCCGGACCTGCCCACACTGAGCCTACAGCAACTTGTCAATTACAGTTCAGGTTCTCCAAGGCGCTGGTCCCCAGGGTGGTTTCCCCTGAGTCTCTGCTCTGGAAGCCCGTGATCCCTGTTTTCACCTGTTGGTGTCTCTAACCTCAGGGCAGTGGTTCGCCGTGTCCTCCCATAGCATGGGGATCCAAGGAGAACTGTTGTTCTCCAGTCTGGCGTTTTATTAGGATGGAGTTTCATCACGGTGACACTGCTGTGATAAGCCTAGTCAGGAGTAACAGGAACGGAGCGAAGGGAAGGCCACATCATACAGGCAGTGGGGCTCCTTTGCCAGGAAGCTGCAGTTTAACACGCCCCAGGAAGCCACCGGTCTGTCCCCAGCCGGACTGGGCAGGAGGAGAATGGATTCTTTCTCACACAGGGAGGGCTGGATGATGTAGGTGTCAGTCACACCTGGGAACAGGTCATTGGCCAGAGTAGGCGTGGCCACTGCAAGCGCGGGAAGATCTGAGGTAATTACTCTCCTGAACAGAGGGGGTCACGCTCTTGGTTCTCTGACACTCTTGGCTCTTGTGGTTTGGGGAGTCCTGGGACTCTTGTTGCAGGGGGAGTGCGCTCTTGGCTCCCCTGCATTTGCCCACGCGGCTCACAGCCGTGCGGACTCCGCACACAATGGACTGTAACCAGCCTGAGGCTGTGCCAGACCCAATGCCACCATGGAAAGAAAAGTTTGGATACTGGCTCTTTGCTTCTAGCTCTACTGAATCCCCAGTTGCACATCTTCTAGGACTGGATTAAGGGAATGGGTCTTTGGAAACCCAAGGATGTAATTGCACAAAAATAAAGCTTTCCACCACATCTCATCCTCCCATGGGGGCCCCTGGAATGCTTATTCCAGTGGTACCCCAGGAACCCCACTCCTACAAGCAATGGAGAAAGACCATCCACTCATTCCACTAAAAACAATGGCACTGAAGTGGGGGCATATCATTTCCATCCAGCTCCCAGACCGACACATCCCCTTTGGTGCTTTGAGAACCAGAAGGCATAAGAACTGACAAGTTGGTTAAAAACCAAAAGGTGCTTTGTGAGTCAGGACTTTTCTGCAAGACCAGCCTCAGTGAGAGGGAGGAAGTACTGGCTTTGGGTCTAGTCGGTGCATAAAAGCAGGTCCAATGCTTAAAATCAAACTAAGTTTCCTGTTGGAAAACCGTGGAATTGATGAGGTGTAAAGGAAAAGGAACAGGACTCTGGCCAGTGTTGCTTGTGGTTAGAGCACCAGCCTGCGTACTGAAGGGTCATGGGTTCGATTCCTGGTCAAGGGCATGTACCTGGGTTTCAGCTTTAATCCCAGGCCCCAGTCAGGTGTATGTGGGAGGCAACCAATTGATGTGTCCTTTTGACATTGATGTTTCTCTTTCTCTCTTCCTCCTCCTCCCTCTCTCAAAAAAAAAATCAATGGAAAAAATATTCTTGGGTGAGGATTAACAAAACAAAACAAAAAAAGAGCAGGATTTACACAAAGAACTTTTTCAAGTTCACAAGTAAAAATAATGTTTATAAAATCAAGAGCTTAACTTTGTAAAGTTTCTGTACACCTGAAACGAATACAAAAAAATTAAATGTAAACTGTAATTGAAACATTTTTAAAAATAAAAGAAACTAGAACTCAACAAAAACCACCAATGATTCTTAAAACCTGGTATAATTTGCCATGATCTTAGCAATTCTAGTCCAGAAAAAAACAGGGTCAGCGAAGGGAGTAAATGTTTATACAAAGAGTCTAGTAAGAAATTCACTTGCTTGCAACAATATTATTATTTCCATAAATTGTGCGTTTAATGATGAGTCTTCTTCCTTATGGTAATTAGATCTTTAAAAGTCACCAGGAGCAATAATATAAACCTTCACTTGTGACTTAGATAATTATGTGCATGTATGGGAGGCCAAGAGGTTGTGGATGGGCACCATCACGAACTTATCACCTCTACAGGCCCCAGGAGGTAGAAACAGCCTTGCTCAGGTGAGGTCTGCACATCCAGACCTGCACAGACAATACGTAGGAGAAGCAATAGGCTGACTCTGAGTTTAGTGGCCAGACTGCCTAGGTTCATCTGAACTCTGTGGCTCGTTGGCTGGAGACCTGGGGCAGATTACCTCACCTCTCTGTCCTCCATATGATGTCATGGTGAAATGAGTTGTTCATACCACCTAATTCATGAGGCTGCTGTGAAGATTAAATGAGTTACCTAATGTTATATGCATTGACTGTCACTATGACTTTTACCATTATTTCACACAAAGCAATGAAGACTTTTTAGAAAAAGGAAAAATAGGTTTATTTCTCCTCTATTCAAAATATATCTTGATCATCAGTAGCGTTATATAGATAGCATTTTGGTTAGGCAGCACCAGGCATTACACAGAACTTGATGGTGAAGATATCTATGCTTTCTATTTCTGCTGCCTAGGAATGTATAATGCAGTCAGAATGGGGTAGCGCCGTGTCAGATAAAAGTCCAGATAAAAGGCAATTTTTTGGGCGGGGGGGGGGGGCGCGTGCGGGGGTGGTCAAGGTCAGCTCTTCATTTGGCAGCATGCTTCTTATATATCTCCAAGAACTCAGTCACGTCTTCCGGGGACCCCAAGATGACTGGCGCCCTCTGGTGGATGTCAGTGGGAACGATGTCCAGTATAGCTTCCTTCCCAGTGGTAGCCAATCCTCCCGCCTTCTCGATGACGTAGGCCATTGGGTTACATTCGTACAGTAGTCTCAACTGGAAAACAAGAGCCCAGAGCGGCGTCTACACACCAGAAGGTATTTCACAGAAAGAGGATTTATTCCACAGCAAAATAGCGCAGGGCTGGTGGACGTTTCCAAGGTAACTGAGACTCTCTCTTTCCTTCTATGAGGTTGTAAAAGCCCCCCCCCCCCACACACACACACCTCAAGGTTGCATATAAGACCAAATGGTTAATTTAGCATTTGGTTAATTAAGCCATTCATCAACCCAGAGGCAGGAATGGACTGCTTGATGCGAATATGAGACCGAGCACCTGGACTCGGGGCTGAATGACATATTGGCAGAACCGATGGCTCCCCTCTCTTTACGGCACGGCGACTGGACCTAATGAGTGATTCTGTGTGTTTTGGATGGAGCTTTGCCTATTCTAAAAGCATAAAAAGAATTCATGGTTGTGTCTGGCTGCAGACATCTGGAAAGCAGACTGGCTCCTCCAAACAGTATGATATTGTTTGCAACTCTACACACATTCCTTTTATAATTCTCCCAAGGCTTGCGGGTTGGGATTTACTATATTATAAGGCTTGGCATTTATTTTTAAATATTAACTTTTTTATTGTATGTGTTTTCATGCAGTCACCTACGGAGCAGGCAGCTCCTTGCAGGTGTTTCCTGACTCTATTTCCATACAGGTGTCATGGCCAGATTTGCAAAACTGAAAAAAAAGAAGGAACCTCAGCATTTCTGTTAAAAAATAATTTTTGGGACCTTAGGGAAAAGCGCTAGAAAGCAGCTAATCACATAGGCGGGCGGGTGCCTGAGGTGGCGGTGGCAGGAGTGGTGTTTTCTGTGAACACAATGTCTTCAGTGAAGCGGACACAGTGTGCTGTAAACAGAGATCTGAGTACAGATTCCTATCTTAAGGGGGTTATTGTCCCTATTCCTTCTCTCATATTTAAAAAAAAAAAAAAAAGACTGTCTATTGGGAAAAAAACAGAAGGACAGTACTTGGGAAGGCAGCACTGTCCCCCTGTGCGGAAGGGCGTGCGGCCGCTCAGCCAGCCGGGCCCGCACAGCGCCCCCAGCCTGAGCACACGCCGCGGGCAGTCACTAGGGCGTTTGTGAAACGGGTCACCCAAAAGCCCCAGGTTTCCCCGGAGGTTCTTTCCTTCCCTAGAAAGGTACCATTTTCCAAGCAGCCAATGTCCACTCATTAGTTATTGCTATTTTATGCCTTTTGAAAGCAATGAAAGAAAACCTCTATTTGGAATACGGATTTGATTTGCTGCCTTGGTAATGGGGCTGGGCTGCTTCATTTCTCTTTATGAATGGAATTTATTTTGCTCAAGCCAAACCGCGTGCCCACGGGAAGAGCTGAGCATGTTCAGCCCCTCCTGACCATAACACCATGACTGATCGCTAGCAACAGAAGGGCTCTGCAGATACTGCCTGACTTTAACCAGAACAACCTTAACCCAGATCAGGATATGCCACAGACATTGTTAGCATCCCACGGCAGACTCTGACAGCTATCACCACCTTTTCTTCTTCCTCAGTCACCCCCTGGGCTGCAAATGAAAATCACCGCTCCCCAGAGGATCTGCTTACCTTCCCTTTGGGGCTCTTCTTGTTAGCCGGGTACAGAAAGATCCCTCCGTAGACCAGGGTGCGGTGGACATCAGCCACCATGGAGCCCACGTACCTGGAGCCGTAGGGGGCTGAGTTATCCTGCAAGGTTAAGACCAGCAATCATTAGGGCTGCAGGAAAGAGAGAGAGAGAGAGAGAGAGAGAGAGAGAGAGAGAGAGAGAGAGAGAGAGAGAGAGAGAAAGAAAGGGGGAGAGAAAGGGAGTTCTCTGTGCCCTCTACACTTATTTGACTCAACAATCGTTTAGTGAGCACCTACAAGGTGCGTGTTTAGGAAATGGGGTGAAAATCCCGTTCCCAAGGAGCAGAGGCGGAGCAGTGGAGACCGCCTCTCCTCCATTGTACAGCAGGTCCGTTACCCTCAGAAACCCCACGGAGCTGCTGGTGATTTTAGCTATGGGGTTGGGGCAGGCATCACACAAATGGTGCCACTTAGCAGAACCTTGCAGGTTAGGAAGGATTTTGCCAAGCTAAGGAGCTGGGCAAGGGCGGGGTTTTCATCTTGTGGGAAGGGACGTACACAATCTAACCAGGCAGAGAAGCAAGTGCTGTCCACGGGGCGGGGGCTGGGGAGGGGGCATGAGAGGAATCCAAGGCGAGGTGGAAGGAGAGATGACGGAGCTGGAGAGAGAGCCCGGGCCAGTTCTGAGGGCCCCGAATGCCATGCTGACGACCTTTCGGCTTCCTCTTCAGGACACAGCAGCATCAATGGCATGGGACAAGAGTGTGACAAAATTGGACATTCCCACATGGAACCAGCTCTGCCACCAGCTTTTCTCTCTTCATGCTCAGTAATTTGTAACTGAGAGATACCGAGAAGGGCACCCTGGAACTTGAGATGACTGACAGACCCGTCAGACGCCGCGGGGCAGGTCCTGGGTGCAAGAGCCACATTCTGTACCATCGGGGATCGGGGACCCCAGAAGTGAAACATGCTTTACTGCCATGAGCTCATGCAGCCAGCGGGCCCGATTACCCTGATTTTATTCTGCCAAGAGAAAGCGGCAAAGGCTAAAACAGACCTTCCCATTTTGACGTCCCAGGACAGGGGTCCCAGTCCCCGGGACCTGGGTGGGAACTTAATCATGGGGTCAGTGCGCAGTGGGAGCCAAGCTGCTCTTGTCCCTGCCCCCGTTCTCCTCCAGGTAAGTCAGGAACCAGAACATTTCTGCCTAGCTCAGGGGCTCCCCCGCCCTCACTTACCGGGGGGAACTTCTTCCTCTGCACGTACTCGGTGACTGCAGGGTCGAAGTCCTTGGCGTAGCCCTCATTGAGGCTGTAGATGTTCCCTTTCTTTTTGATCTTCACATCCTTGTCCACCAAAATGAACTCTCCAATGGCCTGTGAAACAGGAGGCAAGGGGGAGAGGTGATGAGCCCCCCTCCGCACCTCCTCCTGCCTGTGTGAGGGTGCGGCAGGCTGGCTCAGCTGGGGGAGGGGGCGCAGGGCCTGCGGTCACACCCATGCACCAGCACAAGGATCGTGGCTTTTGTTTCACAGGTTTTTCTTCTTGAGGGATAACTGACATGACATTGCATTGGTTTCAGGTGTACAGCATAGGACTCCATATCCGCATGCATTGTGGGACGACCACCAGCACAGGGAGCGCGTGGCCCTGGGACACCCACGCCCTGAGATGGGCATGCCTTCTGGAAAACATTTAATTTAAGTAAAGGTCGGTGCAGACAGGAGGCGGGCCCCAGAAGGGACAGACAGCTGAGTTACACAGCGTGCCCAGGGGCTCAGGGCTGCTCTCAGCTTCCCGTCCCCACCTTGATGGCGTTTCCCTTCTGTGTGCTGCTCTAGAAAAGAGCAGAGCCTGCGTTTTGACTCACAGCACAGGTAACATCAGCTGCCTTTGCTCAGTGACTCTCAGCATCTCTCAGAACGCCTGCCCACCAAGCCCCAGGGCTAAGCTGGTGCCTTTAGAGCTTAGGTTCTGCTAAAGACTTTGCAGTTGGGAGGGAAAGTGTCAATTAACTCCTGTGGCTCTAGCCCAGGGGTGGGCAAACTTTTTTACTCCAGGGCCACAATGGGTTCTTAAACTGGACCTGAGCACCCGGAACAAAAGCATGGATGGAGTGTTTGTGTGAACTAATATAAATTCAAAGTAAACATCATTACATAAAAGGGTACGGTCTTTTTTTTTTTTTTTTAGTTTTATTCATTTCACAGGGGCCTGATCCAGCCCGCGGGCCATAGTTTGCCCACAGCTGCTCTAGCCTGAGGCTTGCTTGGGGCTCCTGCGTGTCACTGAGAAGGTGATGGGGTGCTGCTTATCTGGGGAGGGGGTTGCTCCCTGGAGGCAAGAGTTAGAAGAAGGGAGGCCCCATCAACACATCTCTCCCGCCATTTATTCCCACAGTGAAGATTGGTTCCTGCCAGTATGGAGCACATGTGACCAGAGAGAGGGAGGAGGGAAGGAGGAAGGGTGAGGGAGAGGAGAGAAAAGAGGCGAGTATTAACAGTGGTCACTGGAAGCTGTCGTTGGGAGTGGTTCTTTTTTCTTTTATGCTTTTTGATATTTCCAACTATTCTGACCACAAATATGTAGAAATATTTTTATGGTCAGAAGACTAAGTAAATAAATAAATATCTTTACAGAAAAGGTTAAAAAGTCTGGAAAATGAAGCCGTTGCATGGCAGGTGCCGCGCAGCTCACACAGCCATGCTTTGCAGACGCCCCCGCAGCGCCGGTGTGGAGGGAGGCCTCCTGCACTCGAGACAAGAGACGGAAAAGCTTTTTGAACGTTAAATGCCTGACGAGCTAAAAATGCAAACATAGCTTCTTAGCAGAAACCCTCAGCCTGCGAGTGCAGCAAGCCGAAAGGAAAAGGAAAGGCTAAACCGGTCCGAGGCTCAGCCCACAGGCGGCCGCCAGCAGAGGGCTGGCCAGATCCCGGATCCGGGAGGCAGCCCGCAGGGGACAGGCTGTCCTTCCGAACACCGAGCGGCCAGTGGGTGTGAGGAGGGCAAAGGACCATCAAATATACAGACACTGACTCCCAGAGACACCGTCTGCAATCTGGAAACAAGAAGAGATTTACTTTTTCGAAGCGCCCATCAGCAAAGGCAACAGACAACCCCAGGAGGCCGTGAGGAGGCAGGACGTGTCTGGGAGCTGAGACAACAGTGATTTCAGAAACTGTGCCCCAGCCCCGGCTCCAGTGAACTGTGCTCTGGTTCTGCCACTGTTTTCCCTCAGGTCACCTCGCTGGAGACTTACTCGAGTGCTGTCCCCCACCCCTGTTTATTTATTAAACGCCGGCACTTCCAAGGAGGCAAAGTACAGTTGTGCAAGAGTGCAGGGGGCAAAGGCGCCCGCACCCTGGTGTATCGGCCCTGCTGCAAAACAACCCCAGCCTCTCCAGGAGCAGCCCAGCGCTCCCAGGACCCCAGCCAGCTGCTCGTCCTTGTGTTCGGTTTGTCAGCAAAAAGCACCAAATAAACAACATGCGTCATTAATGTCACCCAAGAACATTTCTAAAAGTAAAAGGTGTTTACAAACCCTGGGGCACAGGGCCAAACACACAATGAACATGCCAACCTAGTAAAGACTGTCCAATGGGGTGTGTACTCAGTGGTGGATTTCATGGCACCAAATATTTAAAAAGATTTCTTTCCCTCATTCATCTGCTCTGTTGAAACTGTCATCTAAATCAGTGGTCGCCAACTGGTGGTCCTCGGACCACTGGTGGTCCGTGAGGTCCGAAAGATTGGCGACTGCTGAATCAATAGATAAATAACCCCAATTAATAGGTACGTAGGACTTATCCACAAATTAAAATTGCCAATGAGTATTTTTCATGCACTCTGGGCTTCTCTCCATAAGGTAGCTGTTCTCTATAAGGTGGGCCCACGACTGATCTCCATTTCCTTCTTTACTTTCACGCCCTTGAGTTCATCAGAGCCTTGTCAGAACTGTGGAAGGTTACCAAAGGTGTGCCTGCAAGTGCACAGCAAATACGTTCAGGTGGGCTACCGTTCACTGAGGAAATTAGTGATGAATACAGTGGGGGGTAAACAGGCCATCCACAGGCCCCATCTGGTCCATGAATGCATTTAGTTGACTAGCACGGTGTTTTACAAATCCAGAACCATCACATTAAAAACACACACCACAGTGTTTCCTAAACATCGACACCTGTCCAGTTCACCACAGTCCCACCACCCCCCGGCCTGGCTTGGCAGCACGCTCTACTCATTCACATGGCTTGCCCGGCCTAGATGGGCCTTGGAGTCAGTTGAATAATATCTGTTCCGAAGATTTCATCTTGGAACAAAGGCCCTCTTTCATGCTCTGGACAGACATTAATCCTCACCTCAATAATCTCCTCCTGACGTACATGTGGTCTTCCACTTCGCCCCCCACCCACCTCTGTCCCTCCAGACGTCATCTCCCCCCTCTATGTACCCCAGTCCATGCCCCACACACATAACTGACACTCACAGCCGTCAGCCAGGCACCTAACCCCCCACCCCCGCCCCCAGGCTCTCTCACCGGGTCCAGCATGAAGCAGTTGACCCCACAGGCCATGGCCAGCACCAGCATGGTAGCACTGCCATAGAGGGCATAGCCAGCCGCCACCAGGTTCCGGCCCGGCTGCAGGGCGTCCTTCTCAGAAGGCTCGTCGGTAGAGTTCTAGGACAAGAAAGAAAACAAGACATTTTTGTTCTGTTTTGCGGTTCTTTTTTTTTTTTTTTTTCTTTCAGTTCAACTATTAGCAAGATGCATTATCAAGATGCTTTCTTGATGAAATAGGGCATTTTCTTAGAGGGACCCTCTGTCATGAACAGTGATGTCCTGATTATATTCCCACAGCAGCCTTCCCACAGGCCCCCGATTTCCTGCAGCTGGGACCTTCTTTCCAATTACCGCCTTCCTCCGATTTTACTAATTTGATATTCCCTCATTTCTCTATTTTCACTTTCAGAACAGAGCATGCCTTCTTGCCAGCTCCCGCTAATTTAATCTTGTTATGGGCATCGATGTCTTTCACCTGCCTACTCCATCGTTCTTTAAACAAATTAAGACTGGGCTGCAGGGCCGAGAGTCTGGTGAGGACATCAATTCCACGAGTTCTTGCCAGTTGCCTCCCATCCCCCAGGGAGCAATGTGGCCCACATCACTCACACACCAAGGAGATTCTCGGAAATATGGGGACTTAGAAAACCCTCCAGAGCCAGTGCAGACCAGGGTGGATGCTCCCATTGTGTTGACCATGACCCACAGTAAGAAACACTGGCTCCATCACAAACCAGCATCAACACACACTTACATGCGCACACAAGTACAGGAATGAAACGAAACAATCTTACACTTAGAACATGACGTGCACGCTAATCTTTTCTTTTTTTCACTAGGAACACAGCCCGCTGGGTCATGTGACCCACAGTTTGCCTAATATTGAGGAATGAAACACCTGAAGGAGACGGCTCCTAACGAATGGATTGCTAACCAATGACTACCGTCCCATCAACACTTGATTGGCTTCTTCCCTCCTCAAAGCAGCCCCAACAAATCTTTCAGCTTGAACGGTCTCTACCTGAATTTAAATAGAAATGAAAATGGGCAATTTCTGCCAATTTTATTTATTCCTTTCCCAGCCAGAGATGCCAGCAGCTGAGGGTAAGAACTACTAATGTACAGGAAGAACTGCTAAAACCATTTCTTTCCATTTTTTCCTTCATCACCACAACTGGTGGGTGTTTTGTTTTGTTTTGTTTTTTGTTTTGTTTTTATTTCAGAGAGGAAGGGACAGGGAGAGAGAGATAGAAACATCAATGATGGGAGAGAATCAGTGCCTCCTGCACGCCCTCTCCTGGGGATCGAGCTGGAAACCCAGGCATGTGCCCTGACCAGAATCTAACCGTGACCTCCTGTGGTTCATTGGCCAAAGCTGAACCACTAAGCCACACCGGCTGGGTCCTCAAATTTAATAAATGGGTTTCGTCGAGGTGGTTGGTTGGTTGGGTTGGGTCAACACAGACTAAACACAGTATAGAAAATTTGAGTTTTCCCTAGCTCCTAATGTTGCCAGTGCACAACCCTGAAAAAGGAACCAGCTTCCTTCGAAGCCAGTGACAGAGGGGGCGGACTCACGCCTCTAACTACCCTCTAACACAGCCACTTAGGCCTGCCCGCCAATGCAGCGGGAATCAGACAACGGGAATATAGAACAAATGGACTGACTGGGAGCTGCTGGGGCTTGCAGTAATCAGTTCTCCACTAGTAAAAGCTCCCCAGAGATTCCACCTTCCCAGCACCATCCATCTCTGCCTGTGGGGAAGGTGCGAGAGAAAACAGAATTTCCCTGAAATACTGTCACCAAACAATCTTACCCTTTGACGGCTTTGCACGAAATAAGAAATGGCAACACTATCTATGATCCACATACTCACAAGAAACAGAAAGTAATGCCCTCGAATCGTGGACTTGCAGGGACTCTTTTCTAGCCTGACCCCTTCCCAATGCATGAGTTCCCTCCTGCAGACCCCAGCAGTCACCACATTCCCATGCGGATGCGCAGGGCCGTGTGCATGAAGAACCTGGCAACATTGGAAAGCCTCTGGACCTTGCCTTTCTCTATGCCGCCCAGGCCATCACCTGCTGTGGAGATTGGTTTGTTTTATTCCACGCCATCCCATAAGGAGTAGATCAGTGGTTCTCAACCTTCCTAATGCCGTGACCCTTTAATACAGTTCCTCCTGTTGTGGTGACCCCACAACAATTTCATTGTTACAAATTGAACATCATTAAAGCATAGTGATTAATCACAAAAACAATATGTAATTATATATGTGTTTTCCGATGGTCTTATGCGACCCCTGTGAAAGGGTCATTTGACCCCCAAAGGGGTCGCGACCCACAGGTTGAGAACCGCTGGAGTTGAGGGAAAGACACCATGGATTCTGGAGATTCAAGGTGGCAGACGAGAAAGCCAAGTCGGGCAGAAGTGTGTTGTGGCTGTCGTGTCACCAGGTAGCCGTCCTTTAGGGGGGCAGCCAAACCCTCCTTCAAAAGTCTGACGGCGCATTTGGCAGCATCCCCAGTAACGGAGCCAATATCATTTACCTACGATTGCAGCAGGGACCCTAGCAGACAAGAATGTGTAAGATGATGTCCCTGCCTCCAGGAGATTGTACTCTGGACTGCAGATGGGTTGGTTTTGCCTGGCCAGCATCCGTCACCATCCTGATAACTTCCTTTTTACCTTCCTCTTAATCTTCCTTAGGATGCTGCCTCCCTCCCTCTCAGCTCCAGGGGTGGGCACATCCAGACAAACATTCTAACCGTGATGGTGTCCAGCACCTCAGGAGAATCATACTCCTCTGGTGTCCCCAGCCAGAAGCTGGGTGACCCCTCCTAGGTGGAACACTAGACCACCAGCCCTTCGAGGTCCCCTTGGAGCTGTTTCCCGGCAGTGGTGGGCAGGCCTGATGCTGCTGCGGGTTCCTGTTATAGATGCTGTGCGCTGAGCTGGGGCCCAGGGAGCTGAATTCTAGCCCAGAGCCATCTGTGCAGAAAGCAGGAGAGGTCACCTTTGAAGCATCGGGCACATCAATGTTTATGCCCCATAGGCCCTCAAATGGCTTTAAATAATCAATAAGACTTTTGAAAACTGAAATAACAAAGGCAGTATCCCACTCATATATTTTTTTCCCAGTCTTTTAAAAGTCACACCGGGTTTATTGAGACAAGTGTGGAGACTCATTGTTGAGTTGTAGCATCCTTAATTCACGCTGCTGTTGCAAGCTGTTTGATTTTTTTAATTGACAGCCAGTGTCTCCTTTTTCTAGTTTTCTCTGGTTTCCTTCAAGGCGTCCTTATTTGGGGGTTGAGGTGGAGACTAGAGCTGGCAAACATTCGCCTGCTTTAGTTTTGGCTGAGTCACTAACCAGCAGTCTTGCTTCAAATGAAGACTTTTGCTACAAACCTCTCTTGCTAGACGATAGCCCTGATACTTTGCAGATAAAATGGTCTGCCCTCTGTCTATAACAGGAATGGTATATTCATGGTTGACTTGGAAAATAGATAAATTCTTGCCTTGACCTTCCTGGTATGAGCATTAGAACCTGTTACTCAAGTCGGTTAACTGTTTAAGATGATGCCCTGCCTCGAGGGGTTTGTAATCTGTACAAAAGCCGAAGGGGCATTCTGTCCCTCTCAGCCGGGACAAAAGCAAAATACATTCAACGACCAAAGAGAACTGTCCCTTGGTGTCCTGATTTCCACATGTTTGAAAGGAGATTATATCCAATACTGGCCAACAAGTCACTTTGAACAATAAAGTGCAAATTGGGTCTCACTACTTAAATTATGGCCTCCGTATGCTAACCTAGGAGACTGTGGAGAAGCCTCACCAGCCACCTGCCCATTAAGATAAAGTGATTCAGACTCAAGGGCATCTGTGAGGTTTTATTTCTAAATTAAACAATACAGGCTGAGTTATGGGGACCAGATTATTTAAAGGACATTGGAAATTATAAACATGAAAACGTATTTCAGATTTCGTGTTTTATGATGGGCCCACAGGTATTCATTCTATTTTGTTTACACACACACACACACACACACACACACACACACACACACACACACATACGCACACGGCACTTAAAGAGAAAGAAGGAAAGAGAGGCTCTGGAGGTAGAGTTACCTGCCCAGGTACACAGGTCGAAGACCAGGCAGGGTCCGGGCCCCAGGCCCCAGGCCGCAGCAGAGTGCAGGAAACCCTGTCCCTAAGCGGACAGACAGGAAACACTGCAGGGTTTAGGTCATAAAGTACCACAACCGCTCAGCCCTGCCGGGGCATCACGGAACCCGCCAAAAGCACCATGTAAACATATGAGTTGACCGCAAGCCATTAAAACTTTATTTAGGGACAGTGACAATAAAATTCATTTAAATGTTATGGGCTATGAAATATTATTTCGTTTTTTTCAGAATTTTTTTTTTAAAAATGCAGAAGGGTTGTTCTTGCTCAGAGGCCATACAAATCAGGCAACTGGCTGAATTTGGCTGTGGGGAGAGGAGATTCCAAGGACAATTCTGACATATGTACTCTCATTGTTGTCACACTCACACAGTGCTCAGCTCACACAGTATCGCCACTGTAACTACCCTCTACTGCCCTTTATTTTTAATTTCACTTTCTATTATAAAGAAAGCATGATACAGCTACGAGTAAACTGTTTTTCTCTTCCTACCCACACTGTATTACATTTCCTAACAACTTAATGGATCTTCACCATGTAGCAAATGCTGAAAAGATCAGAACTCAAGACATAAACCTTTGCCAAGTCTCACAAAGTTTCCTGATATACGCTCTGGTTGCTCCACCAGTAGTGAAACAGGACTGGACACTCGACCTTAACTTTCCTCTGGATCCCAAACCAGGGGCTTATCCATTACGCTGTACCTTTCTGTAGATGCCAAAAATGGTTCCAATGGACACAAGGCAATCGATGTTGGAGGATCCATCAAGGGGGTCAAAACAGACCACATATTTACCCTGGACAACAAAAAAAGGAAATAAAACTTTACTTTAAAAATAAACACATTATAACAAAATAGAAAGTATACACTAAGGGGATTAAAAAAAGGGGAATCTAGGGGAAAGTTCAAGAAATGTGGGTCTTATTTATACTCTGTCATGGAAGCTATGCGTGGCATGCAAAATGAAAACAACAATGAAATACATAATCATATGACTGTTATTGTACCAAAACATCATTAGGCAGAGAAAACACAACTTAGAATGGGAGGCATAGATGAAGGTAATGGAATATAGATAAATAATTTCCTACATCGTTGATACAGCTGAATCAGAATTTTGGCTTGAGTTTCCTCGCAGTCAAAGGAAGAAGAGGAACAGGTTAGTCATTGATTTCTTTTCATTCATTAGGGATGTATACGTAATTCCTTAAGTGAAGCTAACACAACATTCAAGCCTTGAAGGACCTCCTAGTGCAGGTCTTATAGATGACATTTAGGTTGCAGTGCACAGAGTTCTCATGGCTATCCCAACTGCAATTCTGTTGTAGAGGGACTACCAAAGGTTTGGTCTTTGAATGGGGCAGTCAGGTTTCTGGCCTCAAAGGTGAGCTGTGCACATCTCTTCCCAACTCTGCCTTCAGTGATGTCACGTTGGTAGTTTGAAATCAACTATGGGGGAGTATTTACGAAGTTGGTATTGGCAATTACTACAAATCAGAGACTTTTCCAAAACAGAACCAGTTTATCAACACACCATAGGAGATTTTCCATATCCAGATTAGCTACTTTAAGAGGTGGTTTTTAAGTTCTGCACCAAATTAAGACAATTCTCTGATTCCCTGACCACTTGCTCTTAAATCACCCTGGCTGATGCAGGAGAAACTGTCATCTGGAAAACAGGAACATGCCTGTTAGAAAAGCACATTGTAGCCAGAGAAGCTGGCCAACTGGTAGAGAACATTGAACAACAAATTCAATCCACATGCCTTAAACTGCCAAGTACCTTGAGAAGACCAACAGGGAACAACATGAACTTTGAATCTGACATGTAATATATTTTAGGAATAATGTAAAACAAATTAATCGGACATAGCTTCCTACACTCTTCAAAATGTCAGGACCAGGTGTCAGGTAGCCTCTGTAAGTTCATCTTCTGATTGCTTTTTTCTGATTCTACTCCTTCATGTCCCGATTCATCTCAACCAGGAAAAGATAGACAGCCCATAGAACTGTACTTCTCATTTCAAGTTTTTTTTTTAAATTATCATATAATTGTTTTGTTCTATAAAAGCTGGATATACTCTTTCCATTCCCTTTTGCAACAATAACTTAGTATTGAACCCCTACAATGGGCCAGGAGTTATACTAGGTGCTGGGATACAGAGAAGAATATAATTCATTTCCTCCCTCAAGAAACAATTAGATTAATAGGATTCCAAACCATAAATCAGTGACAGGAATTGGGAGCAGTTTACACTGGCAGAAGAATTGAAGTGTGAGGGCAGGAATTTGGTGGATGAAGATGAAGCAAAAGAAGTTGTTAACAGTTGCCAGATGTTGAAGAGCCTTGAACATGACCATGAAAAGTTAGGAGTGGAGATGAGTATGAGTATATATGAGTCTCTCCCATGTATGGGCCCACTGGAGGATAGATAATGGCATGGACTATGGTGGTAGAGTGGACAGGTGGGGACAGTTTGAGAGATGGTAGTGAGGATGAATCTGTGAAATGATGACTCATGGTTCAGGAGGAATCTAGGGTGATTCCTAGGAATCCAGCGTGGCTGAGCAATTGGAGTCATTTTTGAAGCGAGATAGAAAAATGGTTACATCAAAACCCTGGATGGTGGAAGTTCAGACCCACCCTTTTGTCAGGTTCTATAATTATGGCGTGTTTATCTTCTTCCGACACCAGGACGCAGGTTGCAAAGGATGCCCGCAACACGTTAATGACCATGTCATTGGAGAGGACGTCCAGCTTCTTCACTTGGTCACCCGTCACATTGGTAGAGCCAGCAATTCCATAGCTAGACGGGAGAAAAGCCACAAAAATACAAGCCATGACAACCAGAACATGTAAATGCATGTAAACCCACCAAACGTGGCATGTAGTTGGATTCAGAAGAAAGAAAAGAAGGCGCCTGGTTTAGAACAAGAAGCATGGTTGTCCCTGCACATGGGCTCCTAGAGGGAGGAAATATCGTCACTCACCTGTCCAGTACCTGTCATGGCACCTGGCACACCTTGTAGTGAAATCTGTTTCTCAAGCTCTCCCCTCTGCCACCCCACATTATGGGTTCTAAAGAAGCTTTTTAGATTGTTTTCTCTAATCACACTCCCCCATGAAATATTAATTTTAATAGTAAAAGATATGGTACATATCTGTGTAGGCACTGTCTGCATAGCTATGTTTTATACACAAAAAGATTGATTTTTCGCCTCCCCCAGGCTGGTTTTTACGCCCGAATGTATGGCCAATGCTTAATGATAGCAAGCAGGGAAACCTTCTGGGGGGGGAGGGGTCCTGAGATGTGAATGAAGCCCATGGTGTCCCTGGTTTTATAGCTGAAAACATCCTAAAAGAAAAGATACTGACTGGTCCCACCTCGTTTCCTAGAGGCAGGCGGAAGCCACCAGAGACAGCAGAGGGCTTGTCCAAGCCGGAGCAGCAGAGCAGAGGTGGCAAGCCCACGGGGACCCCCAGGCCAGGCTCTCTCAGTGGCACCCCACGGCCACTGGCAGGAGTCCTAAGGGCTGGGTGGGGGGAGGGCTGGAAAGTCTGCAGTGTCTACCTTATTTTCAAGGTACCTGCAGTCAGTAATTGTGGAATTCCCAGAATCCCAGTGGCTTGTCCAAAATGCAGCCTCGTTTTCTAGGAAAGACAGGAGGGTGTTGATAGCCTGGGATTGGATAGGAACACTGAAAGGAGGGGAAATGTTCTAAAGGAAGGGTGCACAGAACAAGAAAAGAGGCTGGATGTGGGACAGGAAGAGCAGGAGCGGGGAACGTGCCTCTAATGACTGGGAGCAGGGGCCCAGGGCACAGCTGCATCTTGGTCAGAGTTCTAGGCGCACTCACCTGGGAACGGACTGTCCCGCACCCGCCGCTTCAGCTCCCAAAAATGCACTTGTCTAAGCATAACTTGCATGTCCGCTGGACAAATCTGAACCAACACCAGACATCGTCCAAACCCTAGCGTCTCATCTGGCCCGACTCTCCGGGAGGTAACTCCAGGGATCTCATCACCCACTGCCCAGTGTTTCCTAGAGACACAGGCGATAGCTGCAAGTCATGGGTCCTTTGGTCTTTAACCCACGAAATGAGATGGGATGGAAAGAGGAGCAAGAGGAGGGCTGACGGATGAGACGCTGTTTTTCCAGGCCGGCAAGGGAATGATGCCGGGTCCCTGAGCTTTCTGTTCTCATTCCACACAGTCTCTTTCTCACCCTAACTGTAGGCCAGCGCTGGTGGAGAAAGAAGGCAGCCAAATTCTGGGAGGAGCTGGAGGGCGTGGCAGGCCCACCCATGAGATACATCCCCCTCACTGGCCTGCTGGCACCAAGCAGCTCTCCTTCCTCCCCAGAGGTTTCCACGGGTACAGTCACTGCTGATTCCGGATGGCTAGCGCTGATGGAGAGAACATGGGCATCATGACAGAGACCTGGCTCCCCAGCTCTGGAGCCCTCGCCTCGCCTCGCCTCCTGTTTGCTTTGCCCCTGGAAGCCACGCTCCCTCAGGGAGATGTTAGAGGACCGCAGGCGGTAACATACATGAGGCGCCTAATGCTCATTCTGAGCTTGCTCTCACAGGGGGCTCTCATTAGGGCTGTAGATGCTGGGAGAGGAATGCGGTCTCGGTGATGCCCGATGCCCAGGGCTTCATCCACACCACGCTGGCACGGTTGCTTATCCTTTCCCTCCAGAAGGATGAAGACAGAGGGCACGTTTCTTCCCAATGTCCTAGCTTCCAGTGCCTAGTAGGCCCTCAATAAATACTTGCTGGCCCTGTCCGCGTGGCTCAGTTGGTTAGAGTGTTGCCCCATATATCGAAAAAAGGTTGTGGGTTCAATTCCCAGTCAGGGTGCATGCAGGAGGCAACCAATCAATGCTTCTCTCTCACATCGATTTCTCTCTCTCTCTCTCTCTCCTCTCTCTCTCTCTCTGTCTCCCTCTCTCTCCCTTCCTCTCTCTCCAAAATCAATAAAAACATATCCCTGGGTGAAGATTATAAAATAATAAGTAAATAATAATAAGTAATACATGTGTACTTGATGACTGAATGAATGGCATTCACTGAGAAGAGAAACTGCCGGAAGGAACGCGTGCAAGAGTGACCAACTTCTAAGGCCATCCACACTCAGCAGTGCCAGGGGAGCCACCTGCAGGGTCCCAGGGACAGGCGCACTGGGTCAGCGGCAGGGAGGCCTGGGAGATGGGCAGAGGGACAGCAGGCATGGGAAGGACTGTCCACACTGGCCCGCGCTCTGCCAGCTCAGGGATCTCGCTCAGCAAGACGGGCGAAGGCCAGCCAGCTCCTAGAGAAGCTGCGTGAGTGTTCATTTGCCCCACGAGTATTTATTGGGTACCCAGAGTGCTCCAGAAACTGTCCTGAGTGCTGGGGTCTCAGTGCAGAACAACACAGATGATATCACTGGACTCATGAAGCTTATACTCTACTGAGACAAACAAGAAACAAGTAATGTGGAATGAATGAGGTAATGTTGGATAGTGACCAGTGCTCTAATAAAATGAAACGAGATGCCTGAGGGGCAGGGGGTGGATTGGCCCGTCAAGGCCTGCAAAGGGGCCATTTGAGCTAAATGATACCAGGCACCAAATGACCCATCACAGACAACTGGCCAGTCCTCGGGCTCCGCCTCCCTGAGGTTATGTAGTCACCCCTCCCTTCCTTCTCTTTCACTTCCCTCAGAATTGAGGGTCCCCCCTTTGTTTTAGCCAGAAAGACCCTTCTTCAATGATTCTCCAGTTGCTTGTGAAGAATATTAAAAACCATGGAGGCTGGTTATTCTGGGCCCCTCCAACTTAAAATCCAGGCACTTTACAACTTTTCTAGGCCATCTCATGGGAAGGGTTCCTGGTGAAACGTGGTGTTGGGGACTCTTGGAGAAAGCACGGGCGAGCGATTCTAAGCTAGAAACAGAGTTCAGGAGCATGGGCTCCCAGACTGCGTGTCGGCAGCAAGAATACCTGAGTTTATACACATCGCCAGGTAGTCCTCCATCCGGGTCTCAGCTCACAGGGTTGGCTGTGGCTGGCGCTTCACACACAGCCCTGCACTGCTGCTCAGGCACGACCAGGTCCTGGGCTCTCCCCACCCGCCTCAAGGGGCCCTCAGGGGGCAGCAAGGTGTTGCCACAGGTCAGTGAAAGGTCAGAAGCTTTGACAATGGAAAAGGCCCTCAGAAATATCCTCACAGAACTAAGCCGCTGAAGAACACATGGAATTTATTTTCTGCACAAGTTTTCAGAACCCCCTTTAGAAACATTAAAAGCCTGCACTCTGATCAACCATCATTCCTCAAAGGACCGATGAACAAGAGCCTTCCCCATATAGCGCAACTGCCCCTCGGAGGAGCAGTGTGACCACCCACAGAATCCAGAGCAGACCTGGGCCTCAGCTCCTGCGGACACAGCCCCGCCTTTGCTGGGCCGCTGAACCAGGGCTTAGAAATGAATCGGCTGACTTCCAGGCAGACTCAAGGAGAGCCCAGCGGGTCAGGAAGGGGCTTCCCTCCACCCCTGTGAACAGGAGAGGGTGGCACCATGGAACCCCAAGGGGACTTGAGCGATGCCTTTCACACACCACCTGGCTCATTCTTAGAACAGTGCCCAATGGGCTGCTCCCTGGGGCCAGAATCAGGCAGCAAAAGAGGCTGCAAGAACGTGGGGAAACCATCACACAGTCCTGCCACAAAACCGTCCAGGGGCCAGCTCTGCCTTACCACCAGTAGAGAAAGAGAAACAAATCAGGTTGGAGAAATGGGTTGACCCAGCAAGCTGTAAAGCTCTAGGCTTAGCTCCCTCTCTCTGCCCCCTCCCACGCCCTCTCCCCCACCCTCCATGCAGAAAAGGAGTCAGGAGCAGTTGGGTGTTGAGCAAGCAGGGACAGGGACCTTAGTTATGACTGAGCCAGTGACGTGATCTGCCAAGGAAGCTTTTCCAAAATGCAAGTCATCATGAAGAGGACGGCATCGTCACGGGCTTTTTCCCAAGGGCAGGGACGCTAGACCACTGGGGTCCAAATCCCAGCCCCGCCCACCACATGCTCAGCAACCCTGGCCAAGTCACGTTTGGTTCTTCATCTGTAACGTGGGAGTTTAGTACATCTACAACCTCGTATGCAGAGAGAGGCCTTAAATGCGTTGATAGAGGTAAAGGGCTAGAACCGAGCCTGGCCAGTGTTCTGGTCCCATGCTCATCCTTGACTCCCCAGCAGTCACACAACCACCCCAGGCGGTCCTAATTGGCCTTTCCCTCTTACTGATTGTGTGTGGGGGTGGCTCAGCTTCCCGGTGGATTGTTAGTTTCCAGGCTTTGTAAGAATGAGGGCTGCACTGCCTGATGCACCTGGTTTACAGCAGCCCCACGGCAGCCACCATTGTTCCTAATGGAGCCCCCAGGCATCCACTAAGTAAATGCTGATTGATGAGGGGAGTGGAAACCCAGAAACCAAGGCCTCTAAACCAGTTTTACAGGCAACTCCTGGGAACTGTGTCACAGGTAACTGGCAACTAAAGAAAGTGCTCCAAGTTCAACATTTCACTCCCACTTCACTCAAACTAGTTGGCTCTGCAGCCCAATCCACTGGGTTGGGGGGATCGTCATGACAGGGTTTAAGCCCTTGTGGTGGTTCCTTTTTAAAACCCTAGAGACACAAAAGTTCTCTTTCTGGAGGTTGAGAAGCAAATGCTGATTGGAAAATTTGTCTAATATATGTCTCTTTTACTGTAAACCTCACTGAAAATCTGAAAAACAACTGTAAGTCATTTTAATTCATATGGTGGGAAA